CTCAGGCCCAAGAAGGATTGCTAATGAGGCTCTGAGCACTTTGGATTCAGTGAAGCACTTCAAGACTTCAGTGAAGTCCCATATTTCCATGGTAAAGGGCATGGTTCCAAAGACTGATATCATCAAAGCCCATGATAATAAGAGTCTGACCTCATAGGAATCTGCGGTACCCTCTGTGCCATAATCAGTGTCTCAGACAACAACATCGAGAACAACCTTTGTGCCCATACCAAAATCTGCTGTGCTCCTGGTACCACATGGTACCTTAAAAGATCTCATGTTACCAAATGAGCCCGAGTGGCCCCTCCTTGCAACATCTGGACATCTCTCAGTATTGAGATCTGCTGGGTCACTGACCACACATGTAGTGAGACCCACGGCTTGCCCAACTTCTACTATTCAGGAAGTAGGGTTGTCGCCTCCTGCACAATATGTGGAAGAGCTTTCAGACTCAGAGCTTTTGGCTCAAAGTGCTCCAGTTTACTCAAGGAGATGTTATTCTCCTCTGCAGATGCAAGGAAGGCAGGATACATGACCTCTGCCAGTTGATACTTGAGACAACGACCGATAGCTACCTACCCCCGTGCCTTCTAGTCCTCCTCATTCGCCTTATTTGGACCCATAGGCAATGTACCACCAGCAGTTTTGAGGGGCCCCGATTCAGTTTCATAAGAAACATAAAAGAGCTCTTTCTCCAGCACTGTCTACCTCTCCCCTCCACTCTGAATCAGCAGAGGAGACCTGTGAGCAGCAAGAGGTGAGGGCAGAAAAGGTCACTTCCTTACAAATATCTCTTCTTCATCACCCGTTGAGGCAGTAATACCACCACCGCCATCATTAGCTGATGATTTTTGGCAGTTCCAGGTCTGTTGAAGTGGATGGTAGACATTCTTCAGATTCTCCTGGAAGAGGTCCAGGATTCACATCACAAGCTCTTGGGCATATTGCATATTTCTACTTCAGCACGAGTGGCACTGCTGATTAAGTTCTTTTAGAGCCAGCCAAGACCATCTGGCAAACTCCAAACTCCAGCAATGTCACCCCTACAGGCAAATATGCCGATAAAACATACTACATCCTGGTGATGAAATCAAAGGTTTTTTTTCACCCCAGGCACCAAATTCTCTGGTTGTAGATACAGTTAATGAGACAGCATGCTCAAATATCTACTCCATATAACAAGGACTAGAAGTGTCTGGACCTTCTTGGTCATAAAAGCTACTCTTTGCATCCGATGAAGTGGGCTGTAGCTCACGAAAGCTTATGCTCACATAAATTGGTTAGTCTCTAAGGTGCCACAAGTACTCCTTTTCTCTTTGACAATGTTACAGTTCAGGATAGGAAATCACCAGGCCCTGAGGTTGAAATATGACTACCTGAACTATGAGAAGTTTAATGCTTTTATTGACCATTTACCATAGGAACACTGAGGTCAGTTTAGCTCCAAAAGAAAGGTGGGTCTGCTCTTGGTGAAGATATCTTTTAGGCTTCACTTGTTGCAGACAACACTGCAGTCTGGTCTATTTCCACCACAACAGTGATGAGACAAGCTTTCTGGCTTAAGTTGTCTAATTTCCTATGGGAAGTACAATCGGCTGCTGAGGACATTTAATGGCCACAAGGTCTTTTCAGACTCACATCATACCCTTAAGGACTCGTAGTACACTTAGATCTTTGGGGATATACACACCTGCAAATAAAAGAAATTTAGCCGGTCTCAGTCGGCTCAAAGATCTTGTCCTGCTCAGTTTTTCCACCTTCCGTAGACCATCTGAACCCCACCGGCTAAGATTTTTCTAAAAAAAAAGCCAATGACTACCTCAGCTGCTTCATCCCAGCTATCAGCATCTTCCAAACACATGTTCTGATCATTTTGTGCAGAGTCTAAACCACCCGATAGTGAGGGTTTCTTAGCTGTACCATTCCAACCCTTTTCCTCAGTTTGAACACTGCCTCTCTCTATACTAACATGCCTGGGAGACTATAACATTAGACAGGTAAGTACGGAAGGCCATTAAATCTGGTTACATGATTGTTTGTCTCCATCCTGCCATCCCATCCCATTTCCCCATCTCTCTTCAGGGACACCTCTCACGATCAGTTGCTGAGACAGGAGATCACATTACTCCCAAGTTTAGAAGCCACAGAACCGGTTCCACTTCAACACAGGAAAAGGGTTCTATTCAAGATATTTTCTAATACTCAAGAAACTGGATCTCAGACAATTGATCAAACATGTCAAACATCTGAAATTCAGGATGGTATCCCTAGCAGCTATAATTCCCTCCATGGAGTCCATGGACTGGTTTGTGACTCTCGTCCTCAAGGATTCCTACTTCCATATAACAATTCATAAAAAATTCATCCTCTCACAAACGATGTTTTGTTTCACATTTGATGACAATCGCTACCAGTACCAGGTCCTACCCTTTGGCCTTTCTTCTGCCCCAGGGATTTTCTCAAAAATCATGGTGATTGTAGCCTCCCACCTTTGTTACATAGGAATAACTGTCTTTCCCTTCCTTGACGACTGTCTCATTAGAGGCCAGCTTATCAGGAGTTGCTGTTGACAGCTCAAACAACTTTATTCTGCGGTTAAGGCTTACAAATAAATCTTGAGAAATCGGCCTGGACTCCTGCACAGTGAATACTTTTTATAGGAGTATTTCTGGATTCAGTGACAGGCAAGGTTTATCTCCCTCCTGACAGGTTCCTCACTCTAAAGAACCTTATCCTAAGAATGCAGCTCAGCCCTCAAGTTCCAGCAAGGACATGTCTGCTGCTTCTGGGCCATGTGGCAGCTTGCCTTTTTGGTAACACAGAACACCAGATTACATTTTTGATGTCTCCAAGGGTGGCTCAGGACAGTTTGTGCCCAGCACAAACAGTCTGAACAAACAGGTGTCTTTACCCAGTCGGGTCCTGCAGTCACTTACCTGGTGGAAGGATCCTTTCAAGGTTTGTGTAGGAATCCCAAAATCCAGAATCCCCCTATTGTCATGATAATATCAGATACTTCCCTCTTGGGAGGGTGAGCACATATGGGTCCACACGCTGCCCAAGGCAAATGGTCAAAGCAAAAGCAAGACTTGCCTGTCAATCTGCTGGAGTTAAGGGCGGTCAGAAATGCTTGCCTCCACTTTCTTCCCCTAATCAAAAACAAGTCATTTAAGGTCAGGACACACAACATAGCTTGTGTATATATCAGTAGTCAGGGTGGAGCGCATTTGCATATGTGCAAAGTGATAAAGCTTTGGAATTGGTGCATAGCTAGTCCGATTGCCATTTCGTTTTTTTATGTCCCATGTAGACAAAACACTATGGCATACTACCGCAGCAGACTGTTTCCCCAAATTACAAATGAGAATTGAACTCTTGAGTCTTTAAGAAAATATTTCTAGCTGGGGGGGTTTCCAGAGGTTGACTTTTTCACCACTGTAGCCAACACAAAGTGCAGAATATTCTGTTCCAAAGGAGAACTCAATCCAGAACCTCTAGGAGACACCTTTCTCATTATATGGACAAGGAATCTTTTTATTTATTTATTTTTTGGTATGTATATCCACCAACTCCATTGCTTTTAAAGATTCTCAGCAAGATCAAGTCAGACCAAGCCGGGGTCACTTTGATTGCACCAGCCTGGCCAAGACGAGTTTTGTTTCCTTACCTCATCAGACTCTCCTCTCGTCCTCTGTAGAGACTCCTGATCAATTCTTTACTGTTGTATCAGAATACAGGGAGAAAACTTCTCCCCAGTCTGAACATTCTGTAACTCCAAGCATGATTCCTCAATGGTTCTTGGGACTAGACGCATCCTTTCATCAGAAGTAAAATGTGCTGTTAAATAGCAGCAAGGAATCTACAAGACATACTTTCCTTCAGAAATGGAGAAGGTATCATGTTTGGTGTAACCGCCGTCCACTTTCACCTATTCAGTTGTCTTTCCACAATCTTGGATTACCTGTTGAAATTGAAGACATCAGGTCTATATGAGTTCCATCAAGGTTCACTTAGTGTCTGTTCACCTTCCAGTTTTCTTTCCTAAGCCACATCAGACTACACAGGAAGCCATCTTCCATATACTGGTTGTTAAAAGGGCATTAGCTTTTTACTTGGAGAGAACCAGAGCTTTCAGGAAGTTCCCTAGACTGTTTCTATTGCAGATAGGTCTAGGGGATTCACTGTCTCCATGCAGAGACTGTCTAAGAAGATCTCTGGATGTATTATTACCTGGTATGGCTTGGCTGATGCTCAACCTCCCCTATGAGTGACTGCACATTCTACTAGATTACAGTCAAGATCCGTAGCCCTACTCTAGAATGTTCCAGTTGGTGAAATCTGCAGCATAGACCATGGTGCATGCTTTTTCCAGCCATTATGCTTTGATTCACTTTGCTAAATTGGATGCTGCAGTTTGGTAACATAGTCCTCTCCTTAGAGCTGGACTCGGTTCTGAACCTCCCGCCTTCTTAAAGCGGTTACTACTCAGAAGTCACCTGAAATGGAGCACCTACAGGGACACTACTCAAAGAAGGAGAGGTTACTCACCTTTTGCAGTAACTGGAGTTCTTCCAGGTGTGTTCCCCTATAGGTGATCCACTATCTGCCCTCCTTCCCCTCTGCTTTGGAGTTTTTGTGTGGGAAGAAACTCAGGGTGGTTTACCCATGCAGTCCTATATACCTCATTGCAGGGCATGAGGATGTGTAGGGCACATTTGCAAGCCAAATGGGAACTGCTACCAAAAATCTTTCTGCAGAGGCAGAGGTGCACACCTGAAGTTGAGCACCTGCAGGGGGTCACACCTCAAAGAACTCTAGTTACTTCACAAGTTGAGTAACCTTCTTTTTGTCTGACCACATTGTCCAGGGTTAACTCTCACTGCTTTGAATGTCAGTACAGGATCCTTTAATATAAACAGAGAAGATTAATCTATACTATCTCCCCTTACACTTAACTTTTGTAAAGTTTCCACTTTCTCTTTCTACTCCTTCCTATATAGGAAAACGCAGCACAGTTCTCTTGACCAGAGTTCCCCCCCACAAAGTGGAGTATCAGGCACCTACAATCACCCTGTACTGGGGATGTACGATTCCAAAGATGACTTTCCACTCCGAAAAACAGGTAAATCCAATATGAATTTTCTGTCTTGCACCCTAAATATCTTTACTGTGGCTGTCTGTCCTTTTGTAAAAGGAGTAAATGTTAACTAAAATCATGGGTGATGTTTTTAACATGTAATCCTTTTTTATAAACACCTCTACCCCTGTAGCAGTGTAGAATGTGTTCAGTGTTTAGTTTGGCCAGGCAGAAATTTATTAAGAATTATAAAAACTTCACATGGAAGCCTAATTTAATGACATTTGTGAGTTTGTCATCCTCACAAGTGCAAAATTAAAATAGATTTGTCTTTGGTCAATAAGTGTTTCATTAAACAAGAAAAAAGCATATTTCTTAATACTATTTTAAGGGCTTTTTTTGTTGTGTGTATTATATTATGCAAAAAATAATCATCTCTGCCAGTCAAAGCATGAGGATTTACAGTAAAGTTACTGGCTCATACCTGTGTATGGTTGTTTCTGAGCTTTGCTATTCCCTGTGCTTTGATTGAGGGGCCAGTTATTTCTCAGCTATATATTATGCAAATATCTGTTTTGATTGGCTACTCTCATCAACTCCACATCACATGGAACCTTCGCTTCTAACCTCAACAGCCTAAAACTCTCTGAATAAATACACCCTGATGGGCTCCCCTTGATTTCACTAACAGCCATGCTGGGAAGGACTGAGCACACAGTACTGTGTCTTTAAAGTACCTTTTAAATAGGGAACTTTAAAATTACCCATTTAATTTTAAACTTCCCTATTTAAAAGTGCTCTTTTTTGATTTTTTTTGAGGGGAAAGGAAAAGGGGAGAAAGCTCATGCTTTAGGATTTCAGCAGGCCACCTGCAAGGGTCAGGAAGGGATTTTTCTCCCCCCCACCCCCAGCCCCCCAATTATATCCTTTTCCAGTGAAGCATCAGAGTTGGCCACAGCCAGAGATGGGACATTAGACAGGGAGGACCAGGGCTCTGAGGTGGGACCAAGCATTCTCTCTCTGAGGTGCTTGGCAGGCTGGTTCTTGTTCACATGCTCAGGGTCTTAACTGATCACCAGGTGTATCATCAGGAAGAAATTCTCCCCTACCTCAGATTGGCAGTGATCTTGAGGGTGTTTTGCCTTCCTCTGCAGCATGTGGGCTCAAATCACTTTCCAAAATTATCTGGGTATGTTTCACTTAATCATCTCAAGCACTGTTGCACCTCTATCCCTCGTGTTCTCTGCCTGTGGCACGTAATAGTCTAGTTTCCTGTGGGCTGTAAAACCTTGGTCTCAGTTCAGTGGTGATGGCCTGTGATACAGTGGTGGTCAGACTAGATGATCTGGTGGTCCCTTCTGGCTGTAATAAACTCTGACTCTAAAAGCAGAGGTGCATTTGGACAAAGGATTTGCTTACAGAACTCACTTCGGCTTCTTTTGAAAACTGCCAGCCTTCATGGCTATTTCTCTAACTGTATACCGTGAAAATCCTTGCACTCTGATTGGCTAACAGCCACCAGCCAAAAATGTGCAGTGATTTCCATAATCGTGTTATGATTGTTTTACCGTAACCATGTTGCAAATATGTAAATCTCTGTACTCTGATTACTGAACTCTGTGATCTGATTAGCTGCCATACTTCAATTGCTGTTTACCTGCAACGGACTGCCCTAGGATGACCAGATAGCAAGTGTGAAAAATCGGGTTGGCGTGGGAAGCAATAGACACCTATATAAGAAAAAGCCGTGAATATCGGGACTGTCCCTATAAAATCAGGACATCTGGTTACCCTAAACTGCCCTCCCCCGGCCCCCCCACTAGTGAATTGTAGTGCCCTTACTGAGATGCCTTTATTTATATGGTCTGATCATGACAAGTTTTAAGTAAAGTGCCATTACAGCAGGGGCGGGTAAACTTTTTGGCCTGAGGGCCCCATCGAGTTTCGGAAATTGTATGGAGGGCCGGTTAGGGGTGACACTGCCTTTCCAAACTGCCAGGTGTGGCCCAGACCCCTCCCTGGATCCCCCCCACCCCCACTTCTCGCCTCCTGACACGCCCTCCCCCCGGACTCCTGCTCCATCCAACCCCCGTTCCCTGACATGCGCCCCCCCCCACTGCCCCGGACTCCTGCTCCATCCACCCCTGCTCCCTGTCCCCTGACTGCCCAAGGAACCCTCACCCCTGACTGCCCACTGCCACCCCATCCAACCCCTCTACTCATTCCTGATTGCCCCCCCCCCCCCCCGGACCCGTGCCCCATCCAACCACCCCTTCTCCCTGACCGCCCGAGGAACCCCTGCCCCTGACTGCCCCCCGCCACCCCATCCAACACCCCCCCCTTCCTGACTGCACCCCCCGCCCCCCCCGGGACCTCTGCCACATTCAACCACCCCTTCTCCCTGTCCCTGTATATGTGTTAATTGTGCTTCAGTGAGCTTCCCCGTTTGGAGCCAAAATAGTCGGAAGTTTCAAGATGCGGAATGCTGTCTTAATAGTGTTGAGCTACAGTTCTCTTAGGATAAAATGGTCCTAAAGTTGCACAGGTGATTGGTATTTGGTTAGCATAAGTACAGTAAATCAAGCTGGATCTCTGGCTCATCCCTACAATTTTCATGTTTTGTTGAAAAATCTAAGTTTGGTCCTTCTGGACACCACACTCCTATCCACAGGGCTTCTGGATTCATTTTTCTGTCACAGTTAGGGCAAGAGCAGACCGAAAAGAAGACCTAATTTTACCTGATCTGTTTTGCATTATTTATTCTTGCTCCTGTTAGTGCTGCATGAGCCAGCAGAGAGAAGAGTGTGTGACTGGATTGTATTCTTTGAACTCAGCAGTAGAACTCTTTACTAAGTTCCAATCAGTTACACTCATGCAAACCCACTGAAAGTTAAAGGGGTTACACAGATGAGACAACTGAGAGCTTCATATAGCCTATTGAGCTTTTATTACAGATACTATATGAGAAGGAAAATTTTAGCTTGACTTGGAGTCCGGGATGAGTTTGCAAGTCTGGCAGAAATTAAAAAGAAAAACTTTATTATGTAAATAATGAGAGAGAATAAATATTAAACATCTTATGCTGTTTTTTCAGTCATTTCTCAGAGCAGAACCACACTTCGAGGCAATTGTACAATAAATCTGTATCTGCTCTGCTACTGTGGAAGACTTTGACTTAGATGCTGTTCGTGTTTCCAAATTCATCCTGTTCCTCTTGACATTTATAGTGAGCTTTGGGAAATCCTCTCTGTATGTCCTGTTTTCTCTTTAGTTAGGCTCTATTTAAAGATTGTGTCTGTGAAGATGTATGGGTGTTGGTCCTTTGTGTTTTCAATGCACCATTTTCATGACATATGGAAGGTTAACTAAAAGTTTGGGACTAACATACAGATGTTTTTTCTTGCAAAAGTGTTGCCTAAAAAACTAGTTTATAGGTGGAGTGTCCAATTATATTCTAACACCTTACTGTATCTAACATAGTCTCTGCCTGCAGTGTTCTTAGTCACTTTTTTCAATCATTTAAATTGTTGTTTTTGTGAAGCCCTACAGCACTGGAATTTTAATGCAAATCATGTATAATAAATCAGTATGACAGCTGTCACTCTATTTGGCACTTATTGTTCTGTACACCATAGAACTTTAGAACCATATTTTTGTCAGCTAATTACATTATATTTTTTGCATATTACTCTGACATAAATAAACTGCTTTCATCTTGTGTAGCTGGAAAAAAGTTTCTCACTTCGTAGTTTCAAACAAATTTTATCACAAAAGAAGCAGAAAGAGGGAAAGGCCAAAGAAAATAAATGTTAGGATAAGGAATACCAGTTTTAACATTACTAGTTCTGTGATTATAAAAACGATGCAACACTGACAAACATACAAATTTACAGAGATAAGTATTAGCAATCAACAGGAGGAGTGAGGAGAAACAACCTAATACCCAACTACAAGTGAAAGAATCAGACCCCAAATGAGAGGAAAGAACTCGACTTCATAGAATCATAGAATATCAGGGTTGGAAGGGACCCCTGGAGATCATCTAGTCCAACCCCCTGCGACTTGCTTTCGTAGATGGAAGTAAGAGGTGGAAAAATGGGACTGCTCAGATTTCTGCCTAAATGTGTAAAAATGTTGGTGACCCACTTGGTCTTAGAGTACTCATGGAATGGAGTCAATACTGTGATATTTTTGTCCGTGCTTATTCAGCTTTACCACTTCCATTGTGTTCTTTGTGCCCTGATATGCCCAGAATAAAGAGAAAAGCTGTAAATTTTCATTTATTTCTAGAAGCCATAATTAGAGGCCCACAGAGGGGCTGTTATCAAACACAAAGAGGGTGTAGAGAAGCTGGATATTAGGCATAGGTGTGACAAATATATGAACAATTGACCAAAATAACGGAACCTCTCTTTGGGTGAAGCCTGTACATGAGCATCAAGAACCTTTACTAACTGCAGCCCTTCCAGGAAAGAGGGGACAAGCCTAGGTTAATTGCTTAGACCCAACCAGGGAGGATGTAGATCTACATAGGATTTACTGTGGATTTCTCTCATGGAATTAGAAATAGAGCATGTCTTAAGGGCTGTGAGTCTTTGAATAGCAATTTTAGTCTGCCTCCGCAAATTCAGTTGTATGACTTTTTTCTTATGCAGGCAAAATAATTAAATATTGGTGTTTTTTCCTGTGCTATGTGATCAGGCAGTGCTGTTTGCAAAAATAAGTGGGTAGTCATACCATACACAGTAGGCATAATGGCATATGTGAGGAAAGGGGTGAGACGGAACAGGTTTTGTGCATTAATTTCACCATCTTCTCCATGTTCCTGTATTTTTCCTTGTATAAAACTGGGTTAATTTTGTTCTATTACATTTGGTTCAATCTACTATGAGCGCTTTTGTACAGTTAGATCTTTTGAGATCAGGATTATTAAGGAGTAGGAGCAGAGAAAGGCATTGAGGAGATATTTCAGTTTTTGTCTCATTTTCCATTAAAGATGCCAGTTGTGTTAACCAAAATCATGATGTGATCCAAGTAGCTCTGGA